CCCCCGCGGAGACGGACAGGTGGAACCCCGGAGGGATGCAGGACCGGAGACCCCTGTACGCCGGACAAGGAGGTGAGGTCTGGCGACTCAGACGTGGGGGCCGCGGCCGCAGGGCCGGCTAGGAAGCAGCCCGGGACAGGGCCCTTTTGGCGCCCGTGGGCTGACGCGCTGCGGGTCGGAAGCCCGTCAGCCGGGTGAGGGATCAGTACCCAAACCCTCAGCGTCCCAGGCTGGGCCCGGGTCCCCCTAACCCCCCGGCGGGAGCTCGCGCCCATTAAACCACTAAACCAAGGGGATAGACGGAGGGCTCGCTGGGCCGTGACCCCGAGGAGGGGGGCACGGGCCCGCGCCCGGAACTAGAACCGTCACAGGGACCATTAGTTTTGTGTTGTGGGAAGGAGTAAATAACTCTTTTTAATTTACTTTCTCTAAAAAAGATTCTATAGACCTGTCATATCTCCCATTAGGTATCTCTTTTCCAAGCTGAAAAGTCCCAGTCGCATTAACCTCTTCTCATAAAAAATCTGCCCCATAACCCTAATACTGTAATTTTTGTTGCCAACTCTAATTTCTTTTTTAGAGATGAGGCAACCAGACCCGTACACAATGAAACAATTGAATGAAAAGTTATTTCAAAATAAAAAATGGAAATATCTGAAAACATCAAATATTTGAAAATGTCAAAAGAACATTTTGTCACTGTTGGAGCACCCTCCCAGATGCTTGTGCAAAGATTCTCCATACTGACAGAACTGTTTTCTCATGGAAAATGGTCTGGTCAACTTTTTTCCAACTACCTCTAGTCTTAACTTCACCTTGTCCCCATAAATGTCCTATAACCTTTGAACATGGTTATTTTATGGACTTCTTCAAGCTCAGAAAGTCTGAGGAAGGTTTATAAAAGAAATGGACTTCATATAGAATCATAGAATAATAGGACTGGAAGGGACCTCGAGAGGTCATCGAGTCCAGCCCCCTGCCCTCAAGGCAGGACCAAGCTCCGTCTACACCATCCCTGACAGATATCTATCTAACCTGTTCTTAAATATCTCCAGAGAGGGAGATTCCACCACCTCCCTTGGCAATTTATTCCAATATTTGACCACCCTGACAGTTAGGAATTTTTTCCTAATGTCCAATCTAAACCTCCCTTGCTGCACTTTAAGCCTGTTACTCCTTGTCCTGTCCTCAGAAACCAAGAGGAACAAATTTTCTCCTTCCTTCTTGTGACACCCTTTTAGATATTTGAAAACTGCTATCATGTCCCCCCTTAATCTTCTTTTTTCCAAACTAAACAAGCCCAGTTCATGAAGCCTGGCTTCATAGGTCATGTTCTCTAAACCTTTAATCATTCTTGTCGCTCTTCTCTGTACCCTTTCCAATTTCTCCATATGTTTTCCCCCTTGAGCTTAGATAACCAAGAACACATTTATTTCCCCCAAAGCATCATGCTCCTAAATTTAGCAGTATCTGTCACAATTTTTATCCATCTTTAAGTATGAACCCACATAAAGGATTCAGAAATCAACTGTAAAGCTTTCCCAGGAATTAAGGCAACCCAAAGAGAATGAAACACTGACTATCTCACATCCGGGCATGTGCCTCCTTTCTCTTTTCTGACACTGCCCACGCATACCCACCGCTGGAGTTCTCAGTGGTAGGTAGGTGGTTGCAGGCTGAGCCCCTGCAGAAGAAGGATAGCCTAGGAATTAGGGCACTAGATTGAGACATAAATTCAAGTCCTTACTCTGCTACCTCCTTCCTCTAACCTTTGACCTGTGGTTTGGTCTCTCTGGATCTCAGCTGTGCAACGAGGGTAATAATACTTTGCTACCCTAGAGGAGTGAGAGTCTGAGGGGCTCAGATGGGCTCAGTGTGAGTACTTGGAGAGACCAGGAAGAGGTTCTGTTAATAGCCCACACAACCTCTGCTCTTAGTAACACTGCAGTGAAGAGAAGGAAGTTATCCCAGATGTACGCTGGGCTAAAAGAGCAGATTTCAGTCCTTTATAGACAGATGGATTGAAGTATGATGCACTTTTAATCCCTCAGTATTGATTTTTATACATGTTTATTCTTATGGATGTGTATGTACTGGATGATGATTACTGGCAGGAGACTAGCAGAATGGTGCAAGGAGCAGTTCCTCAGCTGTGTACATCAGCCTAGCTCCACTGGCTTCCCTTGAATCTGTTGATTTCAATGGAGATCAGCCAGCTCACTCTTGGTGCAAGAGGGAAGTCATAAAGCTACAGGGAAGGCTCCCCCAGGCCTACCAGATCCTGCTGACAGAATCCAAGGAGTATGCCAGGCAACTTGTCTGCACCCAGACTCTTCTCCCTCCCCCCTCAGAGCTTCCCAGTGCTGCAAAGCAGAGGATCTCATCACCCACACACTTGGGCTGGGATTTTCAAAGCAGCCCAAGGAAGCTTTGAAATGCAGTGGGAGCTGAGCACCTAACTCCCCTCTGGCCCACTGAAAGGCGCAGGCTTGGTGTCACTCACCACAGAAAACCCCATATGTGCTTCTGAGCACCACAGAGGAGGCATCTAACATGCCCCTCTTTGCATGCTGCCTCCCTGGGCTCTTAGGGCACTACTGACTAGGGCAGTGGGCATTGGTATGGCATCTGCCCACCCATCCACAGATAACACTGCTTATCTGAGGAGTAGGATTTAAATTGGCTGTAGCTGTATGCTGGGTTGGGGTGATTTATTGGGTGCCTTGGGCAAAATCCAATTATTCCTTCCCTTGTTTTCTTGTTGTAGTTTCTCCAGTCTGTCAAGGATCGTTTTTCAACCGAACGAGCCCCTGACTCATTGTGTTTAATTACTAATTGGAAACACACAGCCCCAGTGGTAACTCTGCCAGGAGGGGCAAATCTTGATTGGCTGATGGATTATTATGCTGAGAAAGTGTTGTAACTTCAAGTCTGGGAGCATGTTTCTTATACTAAGAATGTACACATAGGGGCACAAATTACAACACAGCTGCAGTCAGATATGTGCATCTTACCTGCCACCAGACTGCGTAAGCAGCCTGCAGGCTCCAACCCTTCCCCTCCCTGGCCCTTGGTCAAGTGTGGCAGGGGCCCTGGGGGGACAGAGGGCCCCTGATGGCTGGGGGGGGAGGGAAGTCCACGATGGGTGGGGTGGGGTGAGAGATGGCAGCTGGCAACCAGAGTTGGGTGGGGGAGAAAGAAGACTCCTGGTGTCCGGGAGAGGCTGGGGGGAGAGAGAAGGTCACTGGTGGCCAGGGAGGAGACAGGAAAGAGAGAAAAGGCCCAGGCAGCTGGTGGGGCTGGAAGGGGAGAGAAGGCCTGTGTTGGATGAGGACCAGGGGAGTTAAGTGAGGAGAGAAGAGAGAAAAGTCCCTGCTGGCCGGGGGAGGGGGCAGGGAAAGCCCTGCTGGATGGGACCCACTGCTCTGAGCCCCTCCTCACCCCTCTCATTCTTGCAACCCCATACTCCCAGCCTCCTGCCCTACCTTCCCCCATATTCCCAAGGCCCTGTCCTGACTCCTGCACACCACCAGCTTCCTGCCCAGAAAGCCTTAGGCCATGATGGGGAAGAATTCTAGTCCAGATATAAAAAATATATCCATAGATTTGCAGGGTTCTACTCTCAGACACAGGAGAATCTATTAATGCAACCAATATATAGGGCCTAGGACATACAGTTCCGCAATTCCACTTCCATCCAGTAGAGGGCAGAAAATGCACAGGCATATTAACCTATTCATTACATTATAAATGTATCTCCAGCAATACTGACTAACTATTACTCATTCTCACCATGCCAATGAGTGGTTTCAATTATATCTGGATATCAAACACTAGCACTTTGCTCAGGATTCATACAGGCATTTGTTCCAACAACTCATGGTTGGCTTTCATCACCAGTCCTAAATGGGTGAAAGGAATGGTCACCCTCAACCCCCCACACATCTCCTCCAGAACAGCAGAGTTTATTAATTGATCTATGGTGCAGCAGGAAAGATAGGGACACTTGTGTGCATGGAGGCAGAGATAGCATCTGCTTTTTACCAGGGGTTATTGTTTGTTAATAGATTGCTTTTGAAACACTGCTCAAATGGGACCATGAGCATTTCAGGGGTAATTAAAACTCTGTCTATGCAAGAGGCAGGATCTGATTATTTCTTTTCCTGAGCAGGCAGCGGGAGGTTTATTTCTCCATTTCTAAGCGCATCTACTGTTTTGAATGAAGCTTGCCACATGACTAATACACAAATAAAACTCCTTGGATCCTCCCCCTCTTTGAAAATAAGTTTTACTTCTTTGGTCAGCTTGATTCTGGGTTTCTTTACCCCCATCCCTCACGCACATACCCCAGGTCTCACATCATGGATAACATTCTTTTAAACTTTCCACCAGATCCAGGTGCTACTTACTAGAACCTTTAAGAAATTGCACCAGGGCAGAAACATGGTGCACTTGGTGGAGAAGCTAATTGGGAGGTGTAAATCTACCAAGGTGGTGGTGATATATGTCTGAGGCAGCAACACTGTGCTCATAGCTCATCTGCTGTAGGAGAGCTGAAACCTCAAAAGTTTTACCCTTGTTGGAAAATATCAGGAACAAAATTGGCCAGATGGTTTAGTGCTACCTTGTACTTCCCAGGCGATATGATATCCTGTTGCATTGGATTAGCAGGGAGGTATTGAAAGAAATGGAGTAAGGAGAAGCAGACAGTTTGCCTTTCTACCTATTTATAGATAAGGTTGGATTAGATAAGGGCTTTCTTATGAAGATAGATGGATGACAGAGAGAGAGAGTTCAGGATGGGGAGGGAGGAATGGTTACTGTAACAGGCTCCTAAATGGGAGTAGGCAAGTGGAACAAAGTAGAATGCAAGGAGCAAGTACAACAGTTGGCCCACCAGCATGATCTCCAGATGACTCAGCATCAGTAACAAGAACTGCTTCATGAGCTGGTTGCTCAGCGCCAGAACCAGGGCCCTCGGTCAGGGCTTGGTGGAGTAGGGTGAGCCCAGACCCCCTACTGGGGCTGTGACCCCAAACTACCTACTTTAGCCACTAAGCTGCACTTCCCTG